ATTCCAACTGAAGAAGAAAGAGAAATTTCGGACCGAGAAAGTTTATCCGAAGAAACTATTGGGCCCGAGAGTTTAGCCTCTAACCAAAGCACCCAAATTTATTTTACCCAAGCAATGGCCCGTATGCGTAAGGGAATTTTTCTTGACCCCGAAAAGGTGGTTTTGAAAACTCCCGAGCAGCGAAAAACTAGCGTGGAAAGATATTTAAATTGTAGTTTAGATAATTGTTCGCTAAATGCTCTGCGAAAAAAATGTCCGCACGGCAACTATTTTCCTTGTTTGGTGGAAACTTGCTCTTTTTCCGAATTAGAAACTAGTCATTTTTACGATTTTTGCTATAAGCATACTTGCCAAACTCACGGCTGCCAGCAGTTAGTGGTTATTTATGAGAATAAAAGCCGAGCAAAACTTTGCCACGACTGTCTAGCCCAACCACACAATTTTTAACCAATTATGAAACAAAAACAATTAACTCAAAAAATTAAAAAATTACAAACCAAAAACGGGGTTAATAATATTTCTCCCCTTAAAAAAACAAAAGAAAAAATTAAGAAAAATTTAGAATTCTGAAAATTTATACTGCTCACTTACGATGGCACTAGTTTAGATAAAGATAGAAAAGAAACCCAAGAACTTATAGATGAGTTAGAAAAGGAACTAGAAATAATTTCTCGGATCGAGAATTCTTTATCGAAACATTCAGGACAAGAAAGTTATTGAAAATTACTAGAACAATATCGAGAATTGTTAAATGAGAGACGAGAATTAGGGCAATGAGAAAATATGGCTGCTGATTACGATTGATTAACAGAGGAATTAATCGCTCAAACTAAACAGACAGAAAATACTCAAACCCAAGAACGTTTTTCTATCAAAAATTTTTTATTAGAAAATTCTTACTTGGTCCAATTCAAGGAGAAAGAAGCCAGCGGAAAGAGTTTAAGTAAGGCCGAAAAAGCTAAGCAAGAACGCATTTATGACTTGCGAGATAAAGTATTTAGCAACATAAAAAAGGAGTTAGTTAAGTATATTACCAAGCAACAATTAAAGGTGATTATCGTTTTGACGGGATGCCAGAAATCAAAGGCGGAATTAGAGATTGAGCGGAAGCCAAAATCTGACACCTTTTAGTTCGTTTAGGTGAACCGAACCATTTTTGCGACCTAGATAAAACGAACGACTTTTGAGCCGCAACCGAATAAAAAAGCCATGTATAGAATAGACCGCAACAATTTTTTTGTTAAACCCAAAAATAGCACAGTTTACACTCCAAAAGAAGTAAGTGAGTTTATTTTTCAAATTCTCCATCCTTTTTTTGGCAAAAAATCATTAGTTTTAGATATTGGTAGTGGTTTAGGTTCTTTATCGGAACCCTGAAAAAAAGCAAGTTATCAAACATTAGGAATAGATATCGATATTAGCAGTGAAGCCGATATCAAAACTGATTTTTTAAGTCTGGAAAAGTGAGAATGAAAAAAACCAAACTTAATTCTTTGTAATCCGCCTTTTAATGGCTACTATCCAAAATTAGCAGGCGAAGTATTTTTCGACCAAATAATTAGACTTTTTGGTTCAGAAATTCCGCTAGTTATTTTCTTTCCTTATAGTTTTCGTTTAGGAGTAAAAAATCACAGCCAAAGACTAAGCAAGTTTTTAACTAAATATCCTGCTATTAGTTCGATTATTAGTTTACCCTTGGATGTTTACGAAAATGTTTCTTTTCACTCCGAAATTTTACTTTTTAATATTTCAGGTTTAGAACCACATTACTTTTTTTCTTTTTCTACTTCTAATCACTATGAACTGAAACTGAAAAGAGCAGCGAAAGCAAAAGAACCAATTTAAGAGTTATTATTGCCTTGGTTGTAAGCAACGGAAGCCTTGCCAACTTTTAACTAATTGGGATAGCCAGTGAAAAAACTATTGCTGCTGGTGCTACTGCCAAAATCAACTAGAAAGAGCCAAAGAATATCCTTCTTATGAAAAATTTCTCACTAACAAAAAACAGGAGCAAAAAAATAGATTTCAGCAACTCCAACTTTTAAAAAATTATCACGGATGTAAAACTTGCCATAGCCGAGAAGTAGACGCATATAGTTTATACCAAGAAAATAAACTCCTTTGCTACCCTTGCCTGCTAAAAAAAACGGGCGGTGCTTCGGGTCTGATTAGTTTTTCGGAGCAGCAAAAGTGATACAAAAAATACTGGCAAATAAACTTATCCGAGTGGTTAGCAAATTTTTCGCAATTACCGATAAATAAAAAATGTGCGGAGAAGTGATTAAAAGATAACCAGCATTTAAATAATTGCGAATGCCTAGAAAGCGAAGCCAAAGAAATTTATCTATTATTTACCAACTCTCTAAAAATAATTCAGGCGAAACTAAAAGAGTGTAAATGCCAAGCGAGCCGTAAAACTCGTATTACCTATTACGACCATGCTAACTATGGCTATACCTACTGCGAAATCTGCCAGCAAAGAATAGACGGAGCAGGAAAAACTGGACTAATTAAAAATCGTAATGATCCGAAATTTTGGGGAGTTCATATTCCGCAAAAAGTTCTCTGCCTAGCCTGTTTAAAATTTTTCTGTAAAGAGATGCCAGCGAGCAAAAGATATAGTTTTAATAAATACTTGCGACGCGGTTATAATTAGTTCTTTTTTGTAAAAAAGAACCCCCAAAACTAAACCCTTTTTAAACCAGTTTTTCGGGCGGATAGATTTTTGCTTGGCTGGGATTTTTCTTTTCTCTTATAATTTTACTTTGAAACTAAAATCGAAGCCGAAAATAAGGATTTTTGGCTAATTCACCACCCTCTATTGTCTAATGACAATTTTGGTGAAAAAAATTTTTGTAAATGTAACTTAATATTAACTTAAACTATTTTAAAAAAAATCTATATGAAATTAGAAGAAAAATTAAAATTAGAAAAAGAACGAGAAATAGAGAAAGAATTTTTTGAAGGAAAAGGAGTGAAAACTTTTTTTATATTTTTGGCTTTCTATCTAGGATTATTTGTTTTGATTAGCATTGTGTGAGGTTCGATAAATCAATATAATAAAACCGGAAGTCTGAAAGAAAATTTCACTGACTTTTTAGGATACAAAGAACTTTTTTATATTTTGTTAATAGTTTCTTCAATAATGTATGGTTCTTTTTTTAAAATTAAGAAACAAACTATTGACTACTTTGAGAAAAAATTAGCAAGAGAAATAAAAGAAAACCAAGAAAAAACCAAACAAACTATCCAAAAAGAAACCGCAGAACTAAAAAAAGAACTATTAGAAACTAAAACTGAACTGCTACTCGCCCAAAACAAATTACGGGAAGAGAAAGAAAAAAAAAGTTAATTTAAAAATAATAATAAAGAACAAAAATTGATTTTATGTTTAATACGAATATCTTGTAAGTATGAAAATACTAATTATCTTCCTCAGGATTTTATTAAAAATAAAATTAAAAGTTCGCTCATTGAAATTGAAGCACAAAATTTAGTTAATGAGGCTGAAAAAAGAATAAGAAAAATAATTTAAAAAAGATTAGGTATAGAAGTTGAATCAGAAGAAGTTGAAGTGGTTGAAACTTCTACTCAGCAAATTCCGGAAACTGAGGGAACAGGAGAAATAAGTGAAAATGTTTCTGATAATAGAGAAATAGCAGAAACTGGCCGATCTATTTCAGAGGAAGAAATAAGTTATTTAAATTACCTAGAATCACAAATTGATACTTTGAAGATAAGCGCGATTGAAAATGAAAATACTAGAAATCGTTTAACTAATCTTTTAAGAGTAAACGAGCAAGATTGAGGAGATTATTGGCAACTTATCCACGGACCTCGTGACAGACGTGAAAGAACTCCTATTGAAAATTTAATTCCGACTTATATAACCAACGAAAGTCTAGGAATAGAAACATTAAATTATTTAGAGAATGCTAAAAAGGAAGTTTCGCAAAAGTTGAAAAAAATTTGACTAAAAGACGAGATTGAAAGAATTAAGAAGGAAAAAATTAATGATACAAAAGAAGAATACATAATAGTAGATAGCGAAAATTCTTGAAGAACAAATTGAAAAGGAGAGAAATACACTATTCCGCAACTTATTGAGGAATTGATTCAAAACAAAAGTGATAAAGAAGAATTAAAGAGTGTTTTTGAAGCAGCTAGAAAAGAAGTAACGGGAGAAAAAGACACCGAACACCCAAGCAGTGAAAAAATAAACTGAGGAAAAATAGCAACCCGAGGAGTGATAGTGGTAGTAGCCGGAGCAATTGTCGCCGGAGTATGAAAATGACTGCAAAATTGCCGAAAAGCGAAAACTAATTAAAATTTCTGCTGGATAAAAATTGTAAGAACCGTTTTTTTGAAATTTTTTTCTACGTTTATTAGTTTTTTGCCTGGTTTATTCGTTTATTTTTTTTGAAATGATTGTCAAACGGTTATAATAACTAATATAGGATGTTTCTCCTTATGGAGAATGTTTCTTATATTCAAAATGCAATAAATATCATGACATGTACTCACATTAAAATAATAAAACAAAAATTAGAAAATTTCACTAAAAAGTTTGGTGATTATGATTCTTCTATTTATGAAAAGTTGGATTCAATTGTAAACAAAGATGATATTGGAGCAAAATTGGATGTTATTTATAAAGGATTTTTCTCTGGTACTGATTATAAACCAGTTGCAACTTATAAAGATTATAGTTTTCATTATATTTCTCAAACATCATTAAAAGAACTTTGTGATGGGATAGATTATTTATTAGATGAATGTAAATGTTATCAAGATGTGATTCAAGATAGTAAAGACGAAAGGAAAAAAGGTAAAGAAAAGAGAAAAGATTTAAAGAATGAATTGATAACTAAAGAGCGAGAAAAAAGTGAATTAGAAGTAAGAAAAGGGGGAAGTGAAGCCAAGTTGGAAGTTTTTAAGGGTGAGAAAGAAAAATTAGAAAAAGAAAAAAAGGAATTGGAAAATCTAGTTAGTCAACTACGAGAAGAAAAATTAAAAATTAAGGTTGACAATGAAAGTTTGAAAAAAACCTTAATCGATTTTCTCCAAAGAGATCTTACAAGAACCAT